AATTTCAGTTATTGCACTTAATTTTCAATAAGTACATTTCATTTTAGACCTTTTTCCCCCCGATGCATTATTTATGTCCTTTAGATAATATTTGTCACATATTTACGTCGTTTTAATAAATGGCATCATGCATAAACCATAGAAAGGGAATGCCACATAGGGAATCCCGTGGTTAGGAATAAACCGCCTTGTGTCTCGGATACTTAATCCAACGAGACTTGCATGTTTACAATTTTGTTTGGCCTTCGGGGTAAAATCCCAAGGTAAGGTACTAAAAAGTGAATTCTTCCTCAGATGGCTCCATGCCGAATGTTAAACCGTATACCTCGTGAGCTGATAGATTGGAAGAACAACATGGCGCATGAGGTGAACCGATTGTTCCGATACATAGGGCATCTACCAAGTCTTTTGAACATAGCCCCAAACATAGCAATCATTGAAGCACTGCTTGAGTATTGGGATCCTAAAGGCTCCGTCTTTCGATTTGGGGAATGCGAGTTAACACTCACTCTGGAAGAGATAGAAGGCTTGTTGCAAATGCCTGGGAAAGGAAGCCCTATGGTGTACCCAACTAGTGGCACTAGAGAGCAGTTTTGCAAGTTTCTAGGATTGGGACGAGCTAGCATGAACCAGCACCCGGACGCAAAATCATGTCCACTGGAGTTCTTGTACGAACGATTTGGGAGAAGGGACTCTTATGATCAACACCATGACGACTTCTTCATTAGCAAAGAGGAGTGGGAAGGAAAGCGAGTCCAAGTCTTTGGACTAGCCTTGACTAGTCTACTTTATTCCCGCAAAAGCATGGGAAGGTTACCTTTTCAACAATCAACATGATGCAAAGCGTGTTTCTAGGAATTAAGGAGAAGACCCCTACTTTGGTGCCTATCATCATTGCTGATATCTTCACTGCCGTTACTGAATGCCAAAAGAAGAGGGGGTTTTTCTATGCATCCAACCTGGTGCTCCAAATGTGGGCCATGGAACATCTGTCAAAAAGAGCGCTAAATCCATTGGGGTCCTGTCTTCCAACAGCAAACTGGGTCGAGTCGCACCGAGAGAGGGTTAGCAGATACTATCGAATAGCGTCTCCAAGCTTGTTTATTCAGGAATTCAATGCTCTGACTTCGGATAAGATACAGTGGGTTCTCGATTGGACGAAAGTAAGGGATCCAGCTTTCAAGACTACACAATTTGACTTCATTCCATTAGCAAGTACCAGTGGGTTGATTGTGTACATTCCACAACGAGTTATGAGACAGTTCGGGTACCCGCAGAGAGTGCCGACCATACAAGAAATGGGAAGTATCGAGCTTAATACAGTCACTGAGTGCCGGACTATGGTGTTAGAAGGCTGGGGAATCTGTGTAGTTTGGACAACCTGCATTTGGACCAAGTGAACAAAGTAGAGCCTAGGGTCATCTTGTAGAGTACAACGAATGGATCAAATCAATGATAGAACAAGGGAGAGAAAGGACACCGTTGATTGCCGTTAGTCTCGAGGAACAGAATGGGAAGCTAAGGAAAGAGCTGGAGGATCATCAGTTGCAGATCATGGTGGCCGATCAAGCATTGGAGGACGCCCGCTCACAATTGAGGAAAGAGGCAAAGAAGACAGAGAAATTGGAAAAGGCATTGAGTGCATTTGATAAAATTCAAGATGAAATTCGAAAACTTAGTATCGGGAGTTCTAGGGAATCCCAACATACCAAACTAGCTAGACATGAGGACTTTGTAAGAATGGTTGGTCGAACCATCAATGACATTGTAAAGAAGGATTGAGTTTATCCATATTTTAATGAGAAATTCCGCTTCTATATTCACTTACAGGTTTGAAAATGGGATTTTACCCCGAAGGTTGCATCATGCTAGGCCTACCCTTGGCACAAAAAGGGTCCCCCGTAGGACATGCATCCGAGTTGCTTAAATAATTACTAACTCATGCCTTTTTCTTTTTCCCTTTTGAATAAATTGCAGAAATCTAATAACGATTGGTTTATCTAAAGAAGTCTTTTGCATTCTCAGGTAAAGTTTCAAAATAGCTTTTCGAAAAAGCCCCATTATTACGCGATCCCGAAGTAGAGCCCAAAGGAATCGTGTAGACATGAGTACTCAACCAGAATCATCCGAAAAGTTCGTTGCAACTACCCAGCCGGAAGCCGCAAGTCCTGGGGTTCAGTTGACCGAGTTACTCACTAAATTTGGGGAAATGGCATCAGAAATGGCCGCTCAGAAGAAGTTGATTGACGAGCTCGTTAGTAGCGGAGTGCGACCTGAACCTGTACCCGCTACACAACCACAATCCGAACCATTTGTTATTCCTTCATTTCAAACCACGTTTGAGGGAACTTTCAATCCGCAATATGCTTATACTCAAAATCCTCCTTTTTATCCCCCTTATGGGCAAGGATTCCAGCCTCAGGGTGATCCAAACATGCATGTAACTCCACCGACTTTCTTTCAGACTACCGCAGAGCCCGTTGTGCCGGAGCACGTTTTTCAAAATAAGCCAGAAATGGGAGATTCGTCTGCCCAGATTGATATGAAGTTACTTAAACGCTTGGATCGTTTTGATGAATTTATCCGGAAAAGCCAAGGTTTAAGCAAGCAAGGGGTGCTGGACTACGATGATTTGTGCCTATTTCCAAACGTACAACTGCCGGAGGGGTTCAAGACTCCGAAGTTCAACAAATATGATGGCACGGGCAACCCAAAGACGCACTTGCGCTTGTTTGCTAACAAGTTGGGCAAGCCAGTGGATGACGAGAATTTGCCGTTGCGACTATTTCCAGAAAGCTTAGAAGGGGATGCTCTCGATTGGTACTCCAACCTGAAGCCAGAGGAAGTGAAGACCTGGCTCGATCTGTCCAATGCCTTCATTCGACAATATGAGTACAACTGCGAGCTAGCGCCGACCCGGACTACTCTGGAAGGAACGAAAAGGAAGCCTTCTGAGGACCACAAGACCTATGCCAAGAGGTGGAGAAAAGTAGCTGCGAAGGTGGAACCACCGATGACTGAGGATGAAATTATTCGCACATTCATCAAAGCCCACGATCCGCCGTACTTCGAAGAGATTTTCCGTATGACCGGATGTTCGTTTGCTGCAATTGTAAATAAACTTGAGGAGTTCGATGACTTTGTGAGGGCTGGGAAGATTGTCAATGTTTCCGCCCTTAAATCTCAGTTGGATGCTTTACAAGGTCAAGGAAGCAATGTGAAAAAGCCACCGTTCAAAAAGAAGGAGGGGGATACAACATTTGTTTGGAACCAAAATCCTTCACCCAGACCTCGATACCAACACAGCCCAATCTACCAAACCCATTACCCTTATTATCCAAACCCGTACCCTGTATATGCCACTAATATCCAGCACCCTAGACCTCGCCCAAGCTATCCTAACCCACCTTCAACCCCTTTTCAAATTTCTCAACCAAATCCACCCCAAAACCGACCACGCCTTCCATATAACCCAAGATTTCCGCCTCCAAATAGACCTGCTTACAACCAACCTCAACCTTCTGAACTTTACAATCGACCCCCTAGCCGTGCATTTACCAATTTAGGTAGGCCTTTAGACCAATTATATGAACAGTTAAAGGCCGCCGGGAAAATTGGTATGGTACCCCTCCTACTATCCATATGGCATGCCCGCCTGTATAACCGCAAGCCGTCTGTGCTTATCATTCTGGGGCCCCACATGCAACTTTGGATTGCAAGGCGCTTAAGCATAAAGTTCAGGATATGGTTGAGTCTGGAGAAATCGTGATCAGAAAAAGGGAGCCACAAGGGCCAAACGTAAATCAAAACCCCTTACCAGAGCATGTTGGGGTTATTATGAATGATGCGGAGTACGAGGAACAAATCAAGAAATTGGCAATAGAAGCTGAAGTGTTTGGTGTCACGGACCAACCGTTTGTCATAGAGTTGCCATTCGAAGAAGATAACAAGCCTTTTGTCTTAGATCTCACGCCAGCGGAGAATGAAGCTTTGAAACCAGTAGTCATCGAATTCCCGAAGCAGGAGCCCGTATTAAGTCTGCAACAAGTGCCGTGGAATTACGATGAGCCTAGCATACAGATCGGGGAGAATTCAACCGCAAAGAAGGAAGTGTCAGTAGTTACCAGATCGGGGAAGACTGTAAATCCATTTGAGACTACTACTCCAATTCAAGCCAATAGTTCTGAGCTACCCATCAAACCAACAATCACCGAGAAAGAAGCCGTGGATTTCCTTAAACGACTCCAGAGGAGTGAATACAACATAGTGGAAAAGCTAAGCAAATCACCTGCCCAGATAACCATGTTGGACCTACTTTTCTCTTCGGACGTGCATAGGGATGCATTGATCGACGTATTAACAAGAGCTCAAATTCCGAAGGACATTTCTGTTGATAATTTTTCAAACGTGGTTGGGAGCGTATTATTCAACAAACAAATTGCTTTTTCTGACGATGAATTGCCGACAGAGGGCATTGGACATAATAGGGCGTTGTACATAACAGTGAGGTGCAACGGGAAAATGCTGCCGAAGGTGCTAATTGACAACGGGTCCGCGCTTAATATCTGTCCTTGGAGTACCTTAGAGAAACTAGGATTGCAAGACATTAAGCTGAGGCCTTCGGGGACTATCGTTCGAGGGTTTGATGGAGCTCAAAGGGAGCCGATAGGAGAGGCAGATTTAGTAATCGAGATGGGGCCCGCCAATTTCAAATAACTTGCCAAGTAATGCATTTCCCGAGCATTTACAATATTTTACTTGGAAGGCCATGGATTCATAAGTCTGGGGCTGTGCCATCTTCGTTGCATCAATTGCTGAAATTCGTAGTAAATGACAAGCTAATCACTATCTTTGCCGAAGAGGACTGCCTGGTAATCACCGATTCTGGATCTAAAGAGGAGGGAAGTCGAAGTGACCATGTCCCCTCATAGCACATCCGATATAGTCTCCGTAAGTTGGATCACAACGGAGGAACAAGCTCTCTCAAAGCAAGTGTAATGATGGCTAAGGAAATGATTCGTGGAGGATACAAATTAGACAGAGGATTGGGGCGTGAACTGCAAGGGATCCTGAAGCCAGTGGATTATGAAAAAAGGGATACATTCGTTTGGGTTTCAACCAACCGCCAAGGACATCAAAGAGATGAAGGAGCGCAAAAGAGCAGAGAAGAGGGCAGGCAAAGGGTTTTTGACATTCCACCACGGTATACTTTTCCGCCAGCTGAAATATCACATCAAAGGTTAATCAACTGAAGAAATGGATAGTTTGTCCAATTGTTCGTAGGGGCAACATTTGAAGATTTCCAGAAGGCTGAATTTCCTGACATCCCTGAAGGATCAATTCCCAATTGGACAGCCGAGTCTGCCTTCGGAAGGAGTTTCGGTAAAATGAAAGGGGTTTATCATTCATATGAATTCATGAAAATACTTTGCATCTGTAAATAGCCAATGAAAACAATTTACCTTTTGCGCATGTAAATATTGTTAAGTTTTCGTTTCAATTTGCTTTCAATCAAAGGTTTTATGAAAATGCACAAGTTGTTCTTGTCATTGTTGTTTATTCGTTGTTTATATTCATATTGTTTTTGTTTTGTTTATTATTTGCTTATTGTCCCACATTCGTTAATTCTTTCAGATGGCCAAAAATAAAATTATTTGATCCTTTGGATATCACAATTCTGGAATTCGATAATGGCAATCTCCATATCACTCACGACTTGGAGGTTTGTGAATCCGAACTCCAAAGCGAGAGTGATAATGAGGAAGTATCCGATTCGTTTGCAAAGGATCTTGAACAATATGAGGAAAAACCGAAACCGAACCTGGAAGAAACAGAAAAGATTAACATTGGAAAAGAGGATGAAGTTAAGGAGGTGCAGATTAGTATTCATCTGAATAAGAGCCAGAAAAAGGAGATGCTCGAGTTCTTGACTATGTTCCAGGATGTATTTGCGTGGTCCTATGATGATATGACTGGTATTTCGACTGACGTGGTAGTGCACAGGTTACCCACAGACCCTTCTTTTCCACCCGTAAAGCAAAAACCCCGAAAATTCAAACCAGATATGAGCCTCAAAATAAAAGAGCAAATTGAAAAACAACTCAAAACCAACATTATCATTGTTTCCCATTACCCAATTTGGCTTTCAAACCCAGTCCCTGTTCCAAAAAAGAGTGGAGAGGTGAGAGTTTGTGTTGACTATAGGACCTTAATAAAGCCAGTCCTAAAGATGATTTTCCTCTACCAAATATTCACATTCTCTTAGACAATACTGCCGGACATGAGATTGAATCCTTTTGCGATTGTTTTGCTGGCTACCACCAAATTTTGATGGCAGAAGAAGATAGGGAGAAAACTGCTTTCATTACCCCTTGGGGTACCTTTTGCTACCGAGTCATGCCTTTTGGTTTAAAGAATGCTGGAGCAACGTATCAGAGGACCATGACAACCCTATTTCATGATATGATCCACCGGGAGATGGAGGTCTACGTGGATGACATCATAATCAAGTCTAAAAGGACGGAGGATCACTTGGATGATTTGAGGAAGCTATTTGAAAGGCTGCGAAAATACAATTTGAAGTTAAATCCTGCGAAATGCGCCTTTGGGGCACCAGCTGGTAAATTGTTGGGTTTCATCGTGAGCAAGAGAGGCATAGAGATAGATCCAGCAAAAATCAAAGCCATTCGAGAGATGCCAGTGCCGAAAACTCAGAAGGACGTGAAAAGCTTTTTAGGGAAGATCAATTTTATTGGGAGATTCATTGCCCAGTTGACGGCCACATGTGAGCCGTTGTTCAAATTATTAAGAAAGAATGTGCCGTTGTACTGGAATGAGGAGTGCCAACAAGCTTTCGACAAGATTAAAGATTATTTGCTGCAGCCTCCGGTCCTAGTGCCACCCAAACCGGGCCGACCGCTGATCATGTACCTATCTGTGCTCGACGGAGCAGTTGGTTGCGTTCTCGGGCAACACGATGACTCGGGAAGGAAAGAACAAGCCATTTATTATCTAAGCAAGAAGTTCACGCAGTACGAGGCTAATTATTCGTTCATTGAGAAGAGCTGCTGTGCGTTGGCCTGGGCGGCTCAAAAGCTGAGACATTACCTGTTGAGCCATACCACTTATCTTATTTCCAGATCTGATCCTTTGAAGTATCTCTTGGAAAAGCCAATGCTAACTGGACGTCTAGCTAAGTGGCAGATAATCCTCTCAGAGTTCGACATTATTTTCACTTCACAGAAGGCCGTCAAGGGGCAAGCTATAGCTGATCATCTGGCGGAAAACCCAAGGGACGATGATTATCAGCCACTTCACACCTATTTCCCTGATGAAAAGATCTTATTTGTAGGCGCCACGGACGATATAAGTGAGCAGTGCCCTGAATGGAGGCTTTTCTTCGACGGAGCTTCAAATTCTCTAGGAGCTGGAATTGGAGCTGTTCTGGTTTCGCCCGAAGGAAAACACTACCCTGCCGCTGCCAAGTTGCAATTTGCTTGTACCAACAACATGGCTGAATATGAAGCTTGCATTTTTGGTCTCAAAGTGGCTTTGGAAATGGAGATCAAGGAGTTGGTAGCTTTCAGTGACTCAGATTTACTCGTGCACCAAACCTTGAAGCAGTGGATAACCAAAGATTCAAAAATTCTGCCCTACCATTGTAGTTTGCTCACTCTGGCCAAACAATTTCAAAAATTGGAGTTCAGACACCTCCCACGAGCCCGAAATGCATTTGCCGATGCTTTGGCCACCTTAGCTTCTATGATTCAGTATCCAGATGAATTGAAAATTGAACCGATCCAGATTCAACTTCAAGATAAACCTGCTCACTGTTGGGTTGTAGACAAGTCCTCCGACAAAGTTCCTTGGTATAATGATCTTAAGGAATTTCTCAAAACTGGATCTTACCCCCAGCATGCTAGTACCAAGGACAAAAGTTTTCTGCGTAGAATGGCTTCCAAATTTTTCTTAAATGGTGAAGTGTTGTACAAAAGAACCCGGATTTGAACCTTTTAAGGTGCGTTGATGAAGATGAAGCTCAATATATGATGAAAGAAGTGCATAGTGGCGTTTGTGGACCTCACATGAATGGCCATCTGCTAGCGAAGAAAATCATGAGAACCGGATACTTCTGGCTTACTATGGAGCATGATTGTATAGACTTTGTCCGGAGATGTATAAAATGCCAAATGCACGGTGACATTATACGCGCTCCACCCACTGAGTTGCATAGCATGACCGCCCCGTGGCCCTGTTCAATGTGGGGTATGGACGTGATTGGACAATCGATCCTCCCGCTTCAAATGGGCATCGATTTATATTGGTGGCGATTGAGTACTTTACCAAATGGGTTGAGGCGGAATCATTTAAACATGTGACGAAGAAAGTAGTTGCCAATTTCTTGAGAGATCACATCATCTGTCGATTTGGGGTGCCTGAAACGCTTATCACTGACAATGCCAAGAATCTGAACAATGACATGGTGGATGGACTATGCGAGCAGTTCAAGATCAGACACCGCAACTCCGCCATTTATAGGCCTCAGATGAACGGAGCTGTAGAAGCCGCGAATAAGAATTTGAAGAAGATTATCCGCAAAATGACTGAAAGGCATCGCGATTGGCATGACAAGTTGCCTTATGCACTAATGGCGTATCGGACTTCTATCCGGACATCGACTGGGGCAACGCCATATTTACTGATGTATGGAATGGAAGCTGTATTACCAGCCGAAGTTGAAATTCCTTCGTTGCGAATCCTTATGGAGGCTAAATTGGAGGAGGCTGACTGGATAAAGCAGCGCCATGAGCAATTGACGTTGATCGATGAAAGGCGATTCAACGCTATCTGTCATGGTCAGTGCTATCAGAAACGGGTGGCCCGAGCTTACAACAAAAAGGTCCATCGGCGTGCATTTGAAGAAGGTGACAAAGTGCTAAAGCGAATTTTGTCGATGCAAGATGAAGCTAAAGGCAAATTTGCTCCGAATTGGCAAGGGCCGTTCATTGTCCAAAAGGTATTACCTGGCGGAGCCCTTATTTTAGCAGAAATGGATGGACGAGCATTCCCTCAACCCATCAACTCAGATATGTGCAAAAAGTTTTTCATTTGATAATGCAAATTTTCTTCAGAAATTCATGCAAATGGCGAAATGCAAGTCAGGCCATCTTCTTTTACACTTAAAATATTTTATCCCTACTTGTCCCCTTTGAGCCATCAGAATTGACAAAATTTTCGTTTGATAACCCTTGAAAATTGCAAACCCCACACTGGGGCAAATTTATTTCGAAAAAAAAAAAGAGAAGAAAGAACCCTTACACTGGGGCAAATTTAGTTTTCAAAGAAAAATGCAAAAGTGAGGGAAATGCAATGAAGAAAATGCAAAGAGTGAAAATCCGATCAAACTGGGGCAAATTTTCCCCGGTTTCGTTCAAAATCGGAAATGATTTCAGAATAGAGCAATCTCAGTTTATTTTACCCCTGGCATCGAATTTGCTTTCAAGCCTTAACCTTTCTGGAAAACACCCCACCTGACCTCATTACAAAACCCAAAGTCCTGGCTTCCGTCATTTGTCGCATTTCTATTAGCAAAATTTGATAATCAACTGGCAAGTGATGTCCGTAATGCCTTCGCCTAATCTACAAGGGAAGTGCATTTTACTGATGCCTGAAACTTTAACTCATATTTCTGAGTCGATCATGGTCGAGACGTGTCTTTATTCTTTAGGTGAAAACCCGAAAGGGCGCCTTGTAAAAAAAAAAAAAAAAAATCAAAAAGAAAAAGAAAGAGCAAAAACAAAAAGGGTAGGGGCAACCTTGGTGAAAACCCGAAAGGGCGCCAAGGCGGGTCTTTCACAACAGACAAGCGCGGGGAGGAACAGCTGGTGACCTGGTTCATTTGGACTTTTCCTCATATTTGTGATACTTTTGTCAGTATCGGATTCCGAAGCAAAATATCCAAAGTCTTGAATATGATATTCGTTGGCTAAACTTGTATTGTTCTTTACAAATATTCTTTTGCAAAATGTATCTTTATGAATCTTTTGGTTGTTTTCAATTATTTGTGTATGACTGCTTATGATTGTCTACATTCTTTCGCATGCTCATCTTTGCCCGACATAGGAGATAATCTTGCATGTACATTGATCGTTATATGACAATTTTCACGCATCATTCTTTTACCATTGAATTCAAATGAGTGATAAACCCAAAGGTTTGAGCAAAAATAGGGGATTCAATCATCAGATACAGGGAGTAACATGCAACAAAGCTACCACCTGGATTGGGTGACGTGGTCAATCCGTATTTTATCAGTCTTAGAATTTGCAAAGTCACAAGTTCGACCAAGACGGATGCCGCGGAACAGAGGCAAAAAATAGTACAAGACTCATGTTTACACGATTCTCAAGGCAAACCGGATCAAATAATGGTGGCAAATCCATTATTATTTATTCTTTTCTTGCAGGAACACTGCGTTCACAAATGACAGCGATCATTCTCTTTTTCAAACCTAAAGCAATGTTATTTGCAAAGTTGGATTATAAGGACCAACACCAGCCATCGCTTCAACTACAGAGATCCAATCTCCCTCTAGGTACAAACATTTGAACTACTCTCAGGTAAAAATTCAATTCAGTGTCTCAAACTTCCCCAGTGTCCCGTTTAAATTTTTGTTCGGGTCAGTCCCGTTTAAATTCCTGTTCGGGTCAGTCCCGTTTAAATTCTTGTTCGGGTCATCCCGTTTAAACTTTGTTCGGGTCAGTCCCGTTTAAATTCTGTTCGGGTCAGTCCCGTTTATTTTTCTGTTCGGTCAGTCCCGTTTAAATTCTCTGTTCGGGTCAGTCCCGTTTAAATTTCTGTTCGGGTCAGTCCCGTTTAAATTCTGTTCGGGTCAGTCCCGTTTAAATTCTGTTCGGGTCAGTCCGTTTAAATTTCTGTTCGGGTCAGTCCCGTTTAAATTTGTTCGGGTCAGTCCCGTTTAAATTCTGTTCGGGTCAGTCCCGTTTAAATTCTGTTCGGGTCAGTCCCGTTTAAATTCTGTTCGGGTCAGTCCCGTTTAAATTCTGTTCGGGTCAGTCCCGTTTAAATTCTGTTCGGGTCAGTCCCGTTTAAATTCCTGTTCGGGTCAGTCCCGTTTAAATTCTGTTCGGGTCAGTCCCGTTTAAATTCTGTTCGGGTCAGTCCCGTTTAAATTCTGTTCGGGTCAGTCCCGTTTAAATTCTGTTCGGGTCAGTCCCGTTTAAACTCTTGTTCGGGTCAGTCCGTTTAAATTCCTGTTCGGGTCAGTCCCGTTTAAATTCTGTTCGGGTCAGTCCCGTTTAAATTCTGTTCGGGTCAGTCCCGTTTAAATTCTTGTTCGGGTCAGTCCCGTTTAAACTTTGTTCGGGTCAGTCCCGTTTAAATTCTGTTCGGGTCAGTCCCGTTTAAATTCTGTTCGGGTCAGTCCCGTTTAATTTCTGTTCGGGTCAGTCCCGTTTAAATTTCTGTTGGTCAGTCCCGTCTAAACTCCTGTTCGGGTCAGTCCCGTCTTATTTTTCATGTTCGGGTCAGTCCCGTAGTAGAATTCCTGCTCGTTGGTCTTTTGCAGCCCAATAACACAGGTAAGTATTTGGTGTCCACTTCTTTGTCTCAAGTTTTTTCAAAACTCAGACAAAGATGGGCAAACTGTAGACACCAAATTTTGAATAATTTGTATGTGGCATCTACTTCATGATTTTGTTTTTTTTTTTAGATCGCTTGCATTTAGTTCATTATTGTGTGTTTTGCATTTCTAGTTGTTTTTTTTATTTTAGTTTTAGTCATTTTGCCCTTTCAGTTTGTCTATTCATTTTTGTTTTGTCATTTTAGGTTTTTAATCACTTTTAAGTTTTAGATTTTAGTTTTTAGTTTTTAGTTTTTAGTTTTTAGTTTTTTTAGTTTTTAAGTTTATAGAGTTTTTAGAAAGAAAAGAAAAATCATTTTAGTCATTTTGTTTTTATTCAATGCTTTCTTAAAAGAAAAATGAAAATACAAAATCATAAAAAGAGAAAAGAAGAAATTAATGAAAAGAGTGAAAAATGAAAATGGGAAGAGAAAATTGCAACTTCATTCGTTTATTTTTGTTTGATATTTTTGTTTTTTTATCATCTTGTTCTTTATATTTTGTTTTACTTAATTATATTTTGTTTATTACTTAAATTTTACTTTGTTTTTTTTTAAAAAAAAAAAAAAAAAATTTTTGCACGGCATGCACGCTGCTTTTTGCAGCGTGCAAAAGGCACACATAGGAGCATCGGATGGCCAGGGAAAAGAGGGTTTAAGGGGATGATTTCCAACCATTGAACATAGGGTTTTGGGGGTGTTTAGTTGATATAAAGGAGAAGAAAGTAGTAGCCGAAGAGGGGGTTTTTTTTGGGAGAGCATCGACAAGCTGAAAGGAAAAAACTGAGCAAGGGTTTTCGGCTAAAAAAACTGGAGAGGTCTGAGTGAGGGACACAGCTAAAAATCAGGAGGGAATTTTACAGGGAGTGACGATTATAGACAGAAAGGGGAAGAGAGGGAATTGAAAGGAGGAGCAGGAGTTGCGGCTGCATCCGTAGGAGGAAGACCGACGTGAGGAAGAGACTAGGAGGCTTGTTTTTCCAGAAGTTCCATAGAAGTTTGATGCCGGCTCATTCCTTCTGACTTCAGCCTGTCAAAAATCTCTATCAGGTATCCATTGAACTAAAGGTTGCATCTTTGGTCTCCTCTGTGTGCGTAGGTTTGACCTGGGAATTTTTGTGATTCCAAACTTCAAGATTCGATTTTGATTGTTGCTTGGGGTGGAAATTTGGTATTTGCTTGGATTTTGGTATGAAGCCATTAATTGCAGTATAGGAAACCAGATCTCTGCTAATAAGATGCCTGAGTTGTCAAACCTGTTTGCCGCTGGTTTATTGAGCTTATTTACCCTTTGTTGTCTCTCTTGCGTTTATTTTCTTTTTTCCTGTTCTATGTGTCGTGGGCATGAGTTTTGAAGGAAAAGGCTAAGTTTGTGCTTGTCGCTAATTGAAAACCCAGCAAAGCTACGCAGTTCTGTCTCCTATTGTATTGATTGTGCTTTATTTAGTGTTTGGTTGCATGGTATTGATTAGTTTGAAGATGGTTTGCATGATTATGAGGCTGATGGAGTAACATAGCAAAGTCACGAAACAAAATAGTAAATAAATTTTCAGATTTCGCTTCAGCTTTGTCATTTTTGTTTGACTTGGATGCCTTTTGCTGAATCTGTTGAGGTCAAGATGAACCATGTTTTATCAGTGTCGAGCTTGGTGATTGGTGAAGTCCGTGAGTTAAGTTGGTAGATAATCAGGTTTTTCTTTCTTTTTTTTTGTTTTGTACTTTGTTCACAGAGCGGAGCTGCGAACTTACTAAAAAAATAGAAAAAAGTGGCAGAATTTTCTTGCAGAGGTTTTGTGTGCTTGAATGTTCAATTTCTGTGATTGTGAATGCTCAATATCAGTCCTTGGCTGTTTGGTTGAGAAGCTGTCTGTGTTGAATGAAGGTTGGCACCTGAATGAACATCACAAGCGTAGTTAACTGTAGCTAAAAATACAGGTTGCTGTTTCGATGATGGCATGATCTTTTGTATGAGTTTTTTTGATGTTCAAGCATAATGATCTTGCTTTATTGCATGGTCTCTTGTTGGTTGGAGTTTTGTAGGATTGGGTGATGAATCTACATATTCATTGGAACTCATGAAATGCTTCATGCGCATGTAGTTGCAACAGAAGAAATCAGCGAATGCATGAGTTTCGTTGTGTCTTTTGTATGAGTTTCATCTTACGTTTTTGCTTGTTTAGATGTTGAAGTTCTATATTCGGTTGTTTAATCTAGAGTTTTGATGTTTGGGGGTAAGATTTAGATCAAAATTGAGCGTGGGATTGAAATTTGCGTTTGGAATTTAAAGTTGCAGCAAGCATTTCCTTTCTGTTGTCTACCTCGTGAAATTTGCATGTTTTTGCATGAAAATAATTTCAAAAATTGCATTCCAACCCCTCAAATCCCCCTTTGTCCTACTATGGCCCGATTAGGTGTTTGTTCTTACAATTAGGTCCTAAAACACTTGCACTTTAACCCCCTAAGTTCCCTCTTGTCTTGTTATGGTCCAATTAGTTGAGTAATTTAATCAATTGTGTCATTCTAGAATTTTAATTGTTCTTGACATGCTTTGATATGATTTTGGGTAAAACTTTTAGTGAGTTTAGAATGATTTTGTAGATTTTAATAACCTTTATAGACTTATAGCTTTGATTTGAAACTTTAGTGGAATGTTGAATTTTGCCATTCTATTGTAAGATGGGGTTCTTATTCATTTCTTGTGATTTGCACTTTCATAACTAATACCTAATGAATAGTTAATTAAGCCTCAATTTGGAGGAAAGGGAACACCCAGACTCTTGTTTTCACTCACCAAGCTATAAACCTCTCCTGTTTTTCCTTCTCTTTCAACAATTGCAAAGAAACACACACATACAAGATCTAAAGTAACTCCACAAGTTGGGTCAAAAGGCAATTGCTGACTTTTGGGCCAACCCGAGGACCTTAAGTTCTACACACACACACCTCTCAAAATCGATGTGGGATAGGGAATTTGGAGGAAAGGGAACACCCAAACTCTTGTTTTCACTCACCAAGCTATAAACCTCTCCTGTTGGCCCAAAAGTTAGCAATTGACTTTTGGCCCAACTTGTGGAGTTACTTTAGATCCTGTGTGTGTGTGTGTTTCTTTGCAATTGTTGAAAGTTAAGCCTCAATTTGGGGGAAAAAAGTTTCTTCATTGTGTAAATTCGGCCCCTAAACTTACTAAATTCTTTTGTTTTGACAATCAAAAGTTTTGTACTACTAATAGTAAGGCTCAAAATATTTTGTGAAAGTCATCAGTGTACTCTTTCAAAAGTTTTTAGCTTAGCCCTTTGTTAAGTTTAAGTATTTAAAGCTCAATCTTAAAATTTTTCAACACAAAAACCAACAAATTTTGGAAAATCCTGACAATCTAAAACAAACAGAAAAAGATCATTTGAATATGTTTGATTATGTCATTTTAATTCAACAAAATATGTAAAGATTTTGATTTGTCTTTTTACTTTATGTTCAACCTGCTTGATTAGTATTTTGTAGTGATTCCAATTGAATAGTATAATTATTTCTATTTTTGATAAAACAAATTTATTAATTTAGCTACCTATAATTTATTTATTGGGCTTAGTATTGAGCTTGGTGCGGCGTACCTCAACTATCGATCATGGATTTGGAGGGGAACTCTTTAGTTAAGAGAGGTAGTACTACCAACCAAACATGTTAGTGTTAGAGATGGGACTCATACTTCATTTTGATGTGATTATTAGCATATTATAGGTCCCTCATATAAGCATTTTTCTAAGAAGTTGCTACTCTCAAAGGCAACAAAGATCATACAGTGAATAAGTTTATCGTTGATGATTGTCAAAATTGCTTATTGATAGGAAATTCAATACAAATGTAAAGAAATTGAACGAGGCGAGAGGGAAAGTATAAATGAGAGATTCAAGATTTAAGTCATCTTAATGAGTCGTCTTAATTACACTATAAAAAAAATGGAGGCAACTCTAGTTCATAGTTTATAGGCAAACCAAGTATTGACTATTAAGAATGTGGATTGCACGTGACGTTGGCGCTTAGACTATTAAATCTGCAATTACAATCTTGAGACGAGGAAGGCTAGTAGAGTAAATTTGTAGGGTTGTAAATGGACTTCATTCGGGCTCAAAGCCGATTCATTGTTTTGGATACTGAATACCCTCTAGATCTATTTATCCGAATACAACCCAAATCCGATTTATTTTTTATATTCTAAATAGGGTAGAATGTAAGTTTACATTTTTCGACTTGTTTTGGACCTAAATAGAAATATATAAAGAGTTGAAAGCATTAAACTTCCCGTAAACTTTATCCTCAGTTACACTTTATACCTGTCATAGGCAGGCTGAAGTTTGTATGAGTATGACTTATCCTTGAATTATTTCTGTGTAGTTAGGGTTTACGCCGCCATTTCACCGAAATAATAAGCATTCATTATAAACTGTTACTAACCATTTGTGTTTTTTTTTTTGAAAAAAATGCCATATTAATTAAGTAATTATTACTCTCTAGTGTAGGGCTTCACCATTTGTAGGTGCCTTTTCTCTCTAGTGTAGGGACCATCTTACTCGGCTGGGTGTTCTTCTCGAAGAACCCAATTTCACAAACTCAAAGACCTCAAATTCCCGCACCTTTCCTTTTCGTTTTGATTCCCTTTACTAACCGTCTCGATCCACTGTTAGTACGGCGGTAAGCAATGGTGATCTCGTGGGTTTGATGATGCATTGCTCTGCGTTGTATTCTGTGTGTCAAAAGGGGGATACCATGCTCTGCGGGATCGATCGTCACTAGCCAAATTGTAGATCGATTTAATTTCTATTTTGTCGGGTTAAGTCGCAGACTGATCTTTCATTTTTTCTTTTACTTTTGTCCTGGTTTGCGTGTCCAGTTTTCTTTGCTTTTAGTTGTGTGGTAGTGTTAGGTGGTTTCTCCTTTATTCCTGGTTGGCTGCTGTATTTGGTTGGATCTGCGTGTTTTTGTGGCCTCTGCCTCTTTTTACAGGTTCTGCTTGGTAGAGGATTTGATTGGGTGGTTAGTTGGGATTCCCTGCGGATAAGTCAAATGGCCGAGGAGCTGGAACAGATGTTGAGAAGATGTGTTCTAACTGATGAGGAAGCAAAGGATGTTCTGCTCAAGGGTAGAGATGCGTATCAGGAGGTGGCGGAATGTCAGATGAGTATTATAGGGAAGGTGTTTGGAGAAAAGAGTGTGAATCACTCAGGTATTAAAAGCTTTGCTAGCAACTTGTGGCCGTATGTTAAGAATCTGAAGGTGGTTGAGATTGGGATTAACATGTTTCAGTTTATTTTTAGTAATGAAAAAGATATGAATAGAGTGTTGAGTGGCAGACCATGGATTTATGATAATATGTTTCTAGTTCTGGTGCCATGGAAGGAGGGAGTGGAGCAGGATGAAGGGGCTTTTACCAAGACATAGATATGGGTCCAACTATGGAATTTACCAATTCATTGGGTGACAAAGGACGTAGGCAGAAAGATTGGAGGGGTCTTTAACAAGGTTATTGAGATCTTAATTCCGAATGGGGGAGGTAAAGATGGCAAACTCATGAAGATCTTGGTGGAATTGGATTTGAACAAACCTTTATTCAGAGGAACAACAGTGAAATTGAATGGGAATGCCAGGTAGATAGAGTTTAAGTATGAGAAGTGCCCCGATTTTTGTTATTGCTGTGGAATAGTGGGACATAATAAGAGAAACTGTAGCATGAAAGGCATTAGTATGGATAAGGCACCCCAGTATGGGGCCTGGTTGAGGGCGAGCAACCCTAGAAGCCCAGGTAAAAAACAGAACGTTGGGAGGAATTCGAGCCAGACTGAAAATGAGAGAGATGCCTGGAAAAAGGCAATGGAGGAGAGAACTTTAGAGCGTCTATTGTTGACTTGGAGAGTGAATGAGTAGCAGCAAGGTAACCATGAGAGAGAGGCAGAGGTTAGGAAACACGAGGAAACGGGTCAGGGGCCTAAGGGAGGTCAAGAAAAGAATAATATGGGAACTGAGCTAGTGCACTCGAGGAGGGAGCAACAGATTGAGGGGAGGGGTATTGGAAACACAGTGGACAAAACACAAAGCTCTACAACTGGTCAAAGCTTGGAACAGGCCAGGAGCTCTGAGCCACCAGTACATATGACTCCAAATAACGTAAGTTACGATACTATGTGGATTGATGAGGATATGCCAGAAAAGGTGGACCGGAGTGAAGGAGTGGGAAAGTGTACTAGTGGCAGAAAGGAACTTGATAGGACATATAGGAGGAGCAAGACATGGACGAGGTTGGTTTGGGAGGTGGACAAGAGAGTGTCTTTATTTGAGAAAAATGAAGTAATGGAAGTTGCAATTGGGGGGAGTAAAAAGAAACAGATTGCAGCATGAGGGAAGGAGAATGGGAGGGGGTGAGGGAGGAAGGCTTGGAAAGGAGAAAGAAATCTAGGATGATGCAAGGAGAGTTAGTTCTGGAACAGATGATCGAGGTGGTGGAGTCCAACCTTAATGGGGCTCCCCATTCTCAATGAGTGCTCTGGTGTGGAACTGTCGAGGTGTGAGGAGCCCATTGACAGTTCCCCAACTTAAGGAAGTTATTCAACTCCACTCCCCAGAGCTAGTTTTCCTATCCGAGACCAAAAACAGGAAGGATATTCTAAACAAAGTCAAACAGAAAATTGGATATGACAATTTATTTGTTGTTGACCCTATGGGTAAGTCTGGTGGTATGGCTGTTTTATAGAGGAAAGAGTTACAGGTTCGGAGGGTACTTTTCACAGATTTTACTATTGAAGTGCAAATTCAGGGAGATAGGTGTAAGACTGATTGGTGGCTTATTTGTATATATGCTAGTAATGTTGATCATGTGAGGGCGCAATAGTGGAAAATTATAGAGGTGAGGAAGTGGTTGATAGTCGAGGATATGAATGATATTATGTCAAATGATGAGAAATAGCAAGGACTTAGAAGGCCTGAGAGGAGCTTTGACAGTTTTAGGAATTTTGTGAGCAGCAACCAACTTATATATATTGGCTTTGACGGCACTCAGTGGACCTGGACAAACAACTGGGAAAGAACTGGTGAAATCAAAAAAGAGATTGGATAGAATGCTTTGTAGTAGGCATTGGAGGGAAGAAAACGGGAAGGCAAAATGTACCCACATTCAGAATGAGGCATCTGATCACCTGATGCTCCTTTTAGACACTGAGTCGAGAGAAGGGGGATGGAAGAAACAATTTTATTTTGATAAGCGATGGCTGCAACATCAGGAGGTGGAAAGTATTATCTGCAGAGCTTGGGAGCTACAGCAAGAAGGCTCCAGGTTCTTTCAACTGCACCAGAAGATAAAGACTGTTACGGGGGTTTGATTGGATGGAATAAACAGAAGAATGTAAATGCTAAATGGAAGATTCAAAGAGTAAAAAAAGAGACTGTAGAACAACAGAAAAAGGGGAAAACTAGTAATAGGGGGATAATTAGGGAGTTGAAAAAGGAATTGGCAGAGGTGTACAGACAAGAAGAAATTTACTGGCGGCAAAAAGCAAGAGTAAACTGGCTAAAGGAGGGCGATAAAAATACTAAATATTTCCATGCTGTAGTGGAAGGGAGGAGGAAAAGAAATAATATATCTGGATTATAGAGAGCGGACGGTAGTTGGTGCAGCTCGGGGGTGGAAGTTGAAGGGGAAATATAGAGTTACTTCCAATCACTCTTTACAACGAGTAACCCCCAGCTATCTGACTCCATCTTGCAGGGAATCCCTAGGGTAATCACAGATCTAATGAACACAAGGCTGATCAGACCTGTATCAGATGTGGAGGTCAAGAAGGCTGTTTTTCTTTGCATCCTAATAAAGCTCCGGGACCTGACGGTATGACCCCTATTTTCTTCCGAAAGTATTGGCACATTATTAAAGAAGACCTGATAAGGGCCATATCCAGTTTCTTTCACTTAGGGAATTTACTTAGTGCTGTTAATGAAACAATAATCACCTTAATTCCAAAAGTTGAGTCTCCTGTTTTGGTGTCACAATTCAGACCAATTAGTTTGTATAATATTACTTATAGAATCATATCTAAATTCTCGTTAATCGAATAAAACCTCTACTGAAGCTTTGCATTAGCCATAACCAGTCTACTTTTATCCCCGACAGACAAATCATTGATAATGTCACTATTGCCCATGAGTCCATCCATTGCTTGAATAGTAGGAGAAGTGGATCCAATACTTTTATGGCCTTAAAGCTTGATATGTCTAAGGCTTATGATAGGGTTGAATGGCCTTTTGTTATGACAATAATGGAGAAAATGGGTTTCTATCAACAGTGGAGGGGGTGGATTTGGCGATGTATGTCCTCAGTGGTGTATTCTTTTAACATAAATGGTGAGAAGAGAGGATATGTGCGGCCGACTAGAGGAATTTATCAGGGAGATCCCCTTTCCTCTTATTTGTTCTTCTTGGTCTCTAAAGGTTTATCTAGCCTACTGAAACAAGCTATGTAGGATAAGTGCCTCTCAGGGTTAAAATTTGCTAAGCATAGCCCTACGTTATCCCATGTATTTTTTGCAGATGATACGTTGATTTTCTGCCAAGCTGATGTGTGGGAAGCTGGGCAAATGAGGAGGATCTTGGAGCAGTATGCTGCTGCTTCAGGACAGATTATAAATGCAGAGAAATCTTCTATATTTTTCGGCAAGAATACGGAGGGGCGGCAGAAAGCAAGAATTTTAGGTATGTTGGGTGGTATGAAAGAGGTCAAGCAGAGTACATATCTTGGGCTCCCAATAGTGATTGGTAGGACAAAAAAATAGGTTTTTAGCTATATCAAAGAGAGAGTTATCAGAAGGCTAAGTAACTGGAAGGAGAAATTATTAAGTAATGCAGGTAAGGAGGTACTATTAAAATCAGTGGTACTTGCTTTACCTACTTATGCTATGAGCTGTTGTCGGTTGCCAAAAAGGTTGTGTGTGGATTTATGCAGAGAAATGGCGAAGTTTTGGTGGGGGGATAGTGAGCAAAATAAAAATATTAATTGGATTGATTGGAAGAAGCTCTCAGAGGTTAAAGGCAGAGGGGGTTTGGGTTTTAGAGATCTATAGGAGTTTAATGTGGCTATGCTAGCTAAGCAGCTTTGGAGGGTTTTAACCAAATCCAAACCTATTAGTTAGTCAAATTCTGAGAGGGAAGTACTTCAGGGGAGCTTCAATTTGGAGGCTGGAGGCTAAGGCTGGGGATTCATGGGTATGTAGGAGCCTATTAAGTTCAAAGGAGCTGTTACATGGAGGGATTAGGAAACTTGTGGGTGACGGACGAAACATAAATATTTAGGAGGATAACTGGGTTCCTGATATGGGGAATGGGAGAATTAGGACCAGGATGCCTCAACATTGCCAACTAAAATTTGTCCATGAATTGATAAATGACGGTGGATGGAATGAGGACCTGCTCAGCACCTTATTTGAGGAGGAGGATTGTAGGAGGATTAAGACAATTCCTATTAGTGAACACGGAGCCAAGGATAGGCTGGTGTGGGTGTTCTCAAGTATTGGCTGATATACTGTCAAGAATGGATATGCAGTGGCAAAAGTCATGCGTAGGAGAACAAAGAGGTCTAATCTTCAGAAGGGTAGTAGCAGTAGAAACATGGAGGACTCTGGTGTTTGAAAATTTTTGTGGAGTTTAAGGCTCAAACATAAGTTGAAACACTTTATTTGGAGGTGTCTACATCGAGTTCTAATAGTGAACGAGGCAGTGAAGTATAGGAGGAGGGAGGGAAATGACAGATGTCTGTGTTGTGGTGAAATGCCAAAAACGTTGGAACACATGTTGTTTTTTTGCCAGCATGCAGAGCAAATCTGGAAGGCAGCTCCCATCTGTTGGGACGGTCTCAACATTTATAGGAATAATTTTTGGCATTGGTGGACTACTTTGGTGGCTAAGGCAAGAACGGAGGGTAGGACCCATATTGAACTGATGGTTAATATACTGTGGCAGATTTGAAAATCCAGAAATCAAATTCAGTTTAATAATGATCGGAAATGTCCTAGAATTGTGGTGGGTAAAGCTATGCAGGAGTCGCGGGAATATGCTGAGGTATTCAATAAAGTGGATGGGTAGGAGTATGATGGACAGGAGGAAGTCTATGGAGCTAGGAAGTGGTCACCGCCACCCCAACACTTCATTTGTCTGAACACTGATGCCGCGTTGAGTCATAAGGATGGCAAAATTGGTTGGGGTGTGGTAGCCAGATGTAGCAGGGGTAAGCTACTAAGAGCCTGGGCAGGGAGTGAACAAAGGTGTGGGGATCCTGCGGTGGAGGAAGCTCGAGCTATTAGGAATGGTATGTCCATAGCCATGAAGAGTGGGTGGAGGGACATAATTATACAATCCGATTGTAAAAGTGTGGTTGAGAAGATCAAATTGGAAAGGGTGGAGGA